GAGGTTTAATCATTAAATAAACTAGATACGACAAACTAGCTTTCGATTAACTTAAATTGATTGGTCAGCTGAAAAGGACCAGTCCCAAAGTGTACAAGGAGTTGATGGCGTCCATGTAGTGATTAAATTCTGCTGTCGTTTCCACTTTCTGAAACCATCGAAAGGTATTATAATCAACCATTATGTCTTGTGTTTTGTTCTGTGTTTCTAAAGCTGGCGAGGTGTAGTTCTCTCATGTGTTCATGTTTTGGAATTTTAAAGGTAAACTCCTATAGTAAACGCATGGTGTGTTTCCCTCCTAACCACTTCCACTACATCCACACCCATCCAACCACATGCGAATGTCCCCCGCCTGTTTTTAATTTACAAGTTGTTGCTGTAGAGATGACTTTTTTTTTTTTTTTTCTAACCTCATCAGTTTTTGGCCTGCATGATCGGTTGTAGGCTGAGGGGGAACCAAACTGCAGGAAGTGAAGCTTGGCTAGTGTCTGTTCTAGTATTATCTGGTGATTATCAGATAGGCTTTCTAGCATTGCTGGAGTTATGCAATCTCAAGATAGTGTTTTTAAAGCAGAGAATCTTCTTGAGATTATTATTATTATTTTTTTTTATCCAGTTAAGTTGTTCATTCAACAGCAATTTCTTCCCCGCATAACTGCCTCTTGCATGTAGATGTTGCTGTTTTATGAACGTTAAGCTGCCTATCAATTTGTCCAGAAGGTGAAACTTGTTTAATTCTGTTAGTTTCACTGTAAAAACAGATGATCTGTTGATGGCTAGAGAAAGGATAAGATCTTCACTTTCCAAAATAGTCGATGCTTTATCTTTAGGTATAAAAAGATTCGGGTTCAACCCTGTTTTAATATAGTTTCATGTCAATATTGAGCGAACGAATTAATGGATCACTTTCTAAATCACTTAACATTCTGTATTGTATTGTTTATAGATTTGTTTTTGAGAAATAAGGGTTCACTAGTTTCTGGTAGCTTTTTAAGAATGGATGATTTCTAGATTTTAATACTAAAAACGAATTGGCTTATTTTTTATAATACACCGTAAAGGGGGTTGCACACCAGATGCGCCCCTCGGCCAACCATGCGACAGGGTGCACACATGACAGTTGAAAGTATCACACACCAGACACGCACATTCAAATGTTATTTAATATAAAACTATTCGGATGACGCTCTGAGGTGCAGCTGAAATATAAACAGTGTCCAGAGTCGTAACTGGGTGCTGCGTACAGCCACCGACTTGTGGCACTGGTGTGCGTACCCTCATAGTTTATTTAGGCTGGTCATTTTCAGATGTCTCCGATGTCTCCGTTTTCCCCTATCCACACTGAGACAGAGCAGCAGCGTTTTAGAATGAAAAGGACTCTTCAGCGTTTCCAAAAGTTTTCGGTGCTCAAACTCTGGCGTAGTGTGGACGGATGGTGTAACCGTAGCAAAACTTATGCATTTTAAAACTAAAACTGAAACACATTAGTGTAAACGGGGCCTTAGAATTCTAAAAAGCATGTCGCTGCGTGGTGGATTGCCGAGCGGCGCATCCGGTGTGCGACACCGTTTCTCAACCATGGTCCGGAAGGACCACCAGCACTGCATGTTTTGATGTTTCTTTGGTCTGTTACACCTATTACAAGGCTGTTTCTCAATTCCAACGGACTTTGTTTTCGTGGAGACCGGTCTTGCCAAGTTACCTTGGAAGAACTCGGGAGACCGCGAGAACAGTGCAACAATTTGAATCATAAGGTAAATGCAAAACAATAGTTTCCATGTGGAGCTCCTTTACTGGACTCGACACTTGTAAACACTCAATCAGACGGGTTCCCACGGCTCTCGGCTCTCTCCTGAGATAAACAAGTTATATCTTCGAAGTTTAATAATAAATCTATAAAAAATGCTGTGCTTCCCACCTCCTTTATTCAGCCGCAATGACTTCTGGGACTTCTCGAGCGAGTTTTGTACTCAAGTCTGAATCCTCTAAATCAAAGACTTTTACGCATCCTCCGATTTTCACTTATTGAAAAACAGCCCAAGTCTTTCAGTCTCTGCTAATGAGCTGATCATCTGAATCGGGTGTATTTGGTTAAATAGAAATGGAAAATGTGCAGAGCTAGTGGTCCTACGGGAACATGGTTGAGAAACATCGCCGTAAGAGATTGACCACTAAATCTTCACTTTTAAAACTTACTGACATTGTATTTTTAGTTTTTTGGACTGGATTCTGCCATGTTTCTGAGACTTTTTGCCAAAAGATGACCAGAAATCTTTTCTTTCCAAATTATTTTGTTCAATGTAATCTTAGCCATCAATTTTTACTTTTAACAGTAGCAAATACTGAAATAAAATGGGCAATAGGGGAAAATGTAACTTAAATTTAAAGGAGAGACTGTCCTGAGATCAATCTATTCCTACGTTTCTTTTAAACTCTAAGCTTCGAGAGCTTTGGAAAATTCCTCTCCTCAGTTTTGCTTTTGGTATGTAGGTCTTTTTCTTTGGGGGCGGATTGTAGGTGGACAAGTTTGAATCCTCATTTGTTGTGCTGGCAGTTTGATTTCACTGTTATCCCACCCCAGCCAAATCTTTTGCTCCGTGGCATTTGGAGCGACACAGGAACAGATGCTTTTGAGGGCTTTTCAGTTCAGCTTGGAATCAGATTATTATGAGGTTTTTGGCGTGTGTCTGCGCATGAGTTGCCTTGTAGCAGCTTCGCATTGTCGCTTTTGCGCACACATTTTTGCTCACCTGCAGACGCTGAAACAGCATCTCCAAATCCCCTTTAAAGGCATTGAGTTGAGTTTTTCAGAGAGCACCTCAAGCTATTTTTGTTGTGGAGAAATGGTATTTTCAAGTGTCGGTTGATACTGATGCCAGTCTCTTAATCTGTTTACCAAACATCTAACCAGTCATATTAACAGTAAATGGGTTTGAAGTGAGTTTTATATTAACCAATATTTTAATTTTTAATTGAATTAAACCAACACGTTTAACAATTGATGCAGTTTCCTTCAGTTTGTGTTTTATTTCATTTCAAGTTGCATAACAAAAAGCTTTATGCAGGTTTTGATTTTGGTCAAATGGCATTTTAAAGAACTGACTGTAACATATTATTTGAGTTTTTCTACAACATGATACTCTAGTGAAGGCAATGTTATTTTGTTTACATTATCAATCAGACAAAATACTTTACAGTTTTAACAATTTACATTTAAAACAAAAGACTTTTAATTTGTAAAGTTAACAAATACCTATTAGCTTTAAATGGCTTACATCATTAAACATTATAGATAATGTAGTTTTAAGTTACAACATTTGCATTAAAATTTTTATAAAGTTCCAAATTTTCATTTGAGCAATGGTGCGTTCAAACCAGATGTGGATGAAGCATCAAGCGCGAGTGATTTACATGTTAAGTCAATGCGAAGACAAGAATAGACATCCTGCGATGCAATTCGTTCGAAATGAGCGTTTGACGTGCTTAACATGTGAATAACTCTAAAATCTCAACTTCATGGGTGGGATTATGATGTAATGTCATATATGTCAATAGCATTAATAAGCTGTAACTATAATAAATGTGTAACTATGGGAATCCAAAAGTGTGTTGAAATATGAGTTGCACCGAATTTTCAGTCACCGAAAAATTAATCGGCCAAAAATGTTATGCATTTATTGGACCCCCTTATTTTTGTGGCTTCAGTCAATGTTGGGGTACTGTTTTAATTCTGGAAGCGTTAACAACTTGTATCGAAATGTATATTGTTATCATTCTGTAAGGAAAACTATTATCGAGATTACAGTTTTGCCAAATCTCCCAGCCCTAGCTCTGCTCAGTTGGAAGTACCACTGAAAGCTTCCATCATCCAGGTCTAGTGCACTCTGACACTGCGTTGTTTTTCAACCTTCCTAAAGCACAGCTACTCTCTCAGTAAAATCAATGTTAGCCATTTAGCAACAAAGCCACCGAGCAGACTGAATCCCCACCCATGGTGTGAATCCGCATATTGTGAAGTGAATTTGATGTGCAAATGAAGCGATTAAACCGCCACGTGTCAATTACGCATGATTTATTCTTATGCAGCATAAGAGTTGAAAGAAATTAATTTTTTTTTCAAATGAATGATTTCTTTAAAATGCTATTTAATGATTAATGCAATTTTGTGCTAATTCCGTTTCTGTAAATTTTATTTTGTTTTAATAAACTTGCTTTGAATTCATTTAATTCTACACTAAAATGTTTAATTTGGCAGTTTACTGTTGTGAGTCATGTGTTTTTTTTTTTTTTTTAAATGGTTTATTTCTTATACAATGTATCTTTAGGCCTGTCACTATCAAATCTTGCTCTACGATATTTTGCACCACTATTTATTGCGATTTAAACAATATTATTGTCCTTTAAAAATCTATTTATGCCACTCCTTTTTATAACGCAAGTATGATGCAATAGCATCATAATAGAAGTATACTCTTTTAAAAAAAGATAACATTTTATTCTCGAGAATATTTAATTTAATCAGAGCAATTTTAATAATTAGGAAACAGAATGTTAGAATGTATTTTAAAAATAACATGTTTAACAAAGTCAATTTAGAGCACAGGATGCTAAACAGAAAACAGACCACATACTCTACCAGATCTATTTTCAGTTGTTGGATAGTAAAGACTAGTGTTTTTTTTTTTTTTTTTTAAACCATACTAACGTTGACATCTTCAATAGAGATTGGATGAGATGCAGAGACAGAGCAATCAGCTAAAATGTTGCTGTATGGGCAATATTTATCGCATCACCAAAAATGATTGAGGTCATGTCAATTTGTTTTGCAATAAGTCGATATATTGATTATTGTGACAGGCCTATATATTGTTATATAATACTAGAATCAGGAGCTACTGGGAAGTTGAATTATGCAACTTTAAGTGTTGAATAAATTTTATATTTGAAAAGTATTCTGCTGCTTTGCATGTAGTCTAATGCATTTGTTTTGTTTTTTGCAGTCGTTTACACTGACCAGAAAGAGGATTGTGCACTACACCAGCTTTGACCAGCGCAAAAGGGCTAATGCCGCAGTGCTGATCGGCGCTTATGCTGTGAGTATCCCTCTGTCTTCTATTAATTACTTTCGCCGGTCTCAAGGATTCACACCCAGGGCAGAATCTCTCACTGCTCTGCAAATGAGCCACTCAGCTGTTTCCGTCCAAACCAACAGTCCTCCCACATCGCAGCATCGACAGCAGAATTCATACCGAGTCTTGTCGGATGTTTGCCAGAGTCCTCATTCTAGCCTCCCCCTCAGAGAGCGACAGACTGCTGACTGACTGGAACATCCCCCGCGTTGTGGCGGCATAATAACTCCATCCTCGACTGGCTCGCGTGCCCGTTTGCCCTGTTCCCCTGCATTCATTCATGTAGCCCACCACGTACACAGCGGCCCTTGTGAAACGCTGTGACTGCATGAGCTGATTACGCCATTGGACGTCCACACTCTCTTCCTGTTCCTGGCGCTCTTGGTCCGGGCAGATTTATTGCTCAGATGGCACTTGAAAAGCACAGGTGCCTGCTATAATGTGGGTCAGTATTTCGTTCTGATAAGCCTGCTTTGTAAAACAGTTTTTTTTTTTTTTTTTTTTTTGCGGGGTCATACATTTACTTCAGTATAGGCATTAAAAAAAGATCTTAAATGGCTAAAAACCATTTAGCCAAGTTAACTTTAAGATCTTTAAGACCATTATGAATCAAAATGAATGACCATTATGAATGAAAGGTGTGTTCAATCCACATCACAAAGGATGTGCAAAACAGGGAATCATATTTTAAATTAAATTTAACTCTATTTGAGAGCGTATAGAGCAGGGGTGTCCAAACTCGGTCCTGGAGTGTCGGTGTCCTGCATAATCAACTCCAACTTCCTTCAACACACCTCCCTGGAAGTTTCTAGTATGCCTAGAAAGAGCTTGATAAGCTTGTTCAGATGTGTTTAATTGCAGTTGGCACTAAAATATGCAGGACACCGGCCCTCCAGGACCAAGTTTGCACACTCCTGGTTTAGACTGTCTGTATGTAAACACTGATGTTATAGAAGTTAGTTTATGTAACTCCACCTGCATGCTCATTCAGTAGCTGTGCTCGACTACTAAGCCTTGAAGTCATTAGGCATTGTCTTTTCTCTTCTTTTTCATTGGGGAAACTAATGTTGACATGGGTCACTTTGTGTTTTTTTAGAGTTGTTCTGTTGAATTTTACAAGTAAAAAAACTACACAATGTGGCATTGTCTGAGTATTTCGTAGAGTGGGGCTCAACCAGATTTTATTAGTGAAAATAAAAGCCTCCGCCAAGGCCAAATAGTGTAATATTTTTTTCTTTTTACATATTTTACAAAGAGGCATTGTTTACTTTTTATCAAGGTATACATATATCTTTATACCCAGGTCTCTCTTTAAGAAATGCATAAAACAATGCAGTTTATCATTTTTTTTTGCTTAATTTATACATTGTCTTATTTGTTGGAGATTTACCAAGTCTCATGACTTAATTTTTCTGTTTACATGCAACTCCTGCTCCAACAGTTCCGTACAATAGTTTTTTTTCTGGTCTTGTAGTTTTTCTTTTCTAAATTTAATTTCCTTATGGTCTTAAATCACTTACAAAGTCTTAAACCTGCAAAAAACACTAACTAGGGTCACAGCACCAATTCTTGGTCACCAATATTTGAATGATATTTTATTTTTAAATATGATGCACAGCATTTATTTAGTATATTTGTACTGACAAAGCAGCTCCTGTCTCTCTCGATGAGATAAGCTCCTGGTGATAAGAACACTTCTGTCCTCATGAATATTGATGAGTCCTAAATGGCAACATGGAAAGGAAGTGGTATGAGAGATGCTTCTCCAGTTTCGTTCAAAGAAACCATTGTTTACGTTTCTTCTCAATCCACAACCTGAAATATAAGAGAACTGAAAGGGCAGGTAGTGTTATACAATATCAGCATGCTTTTTTTTTCAGGGAACTTATGTTTCGTGTGTTTTCCATTGGAAGAGGGCCATGATGAGTTTTAATCTGGCTTTTGCATAATCTGATTTTGGACTGTTGTGATGCTGTGGCTGCGAGCCATCATAAATCCTCTTTTTGGATTTGTCTCATGTCCATAGAAATTTTATTTTTATTTTTATTCAGCTCTGCCATCACAAGAATAAATTGCACTTTAAAGTATGTTAAAATAAAGTAAGATATTAATAAATCCTGGTAAAGAATACACAATAAATCTGTCCTAAATCCTAATTATATTGCAAGTGCTTCTCAAAGTTGATTCGCTTCCTTGAAATCCATCTCTGAAGAATGGTCACATTTACCCTTTGAGTCTAAATTTAGTCTGAACCCTGATCCTGGTCTTAATATAGTTGTCTTAAATGGAAACTCATTTTAGCTACCTTAAAAAAAAACCAACCTCTTGAGACGTGAGGATTCTCTCCTATAAACTCAGTAATGTGGACCTGTTATAAATATAATTCTCTCACATCATACAGTATCATCTCCAAAGTTCATAAAACCACGATTCTGTTTCACATATGCTTTGGTTTTGTCAGTCTTTGTGTGCGGTAAATGCGTTTATCTTTCTGCTCTTACAGTGAATCTACTGTAAGTAGGTTTTTATTGATCCAGCCTTGTGTGGGATGGTCTCCTCTGGCAAGCGCAGATGTTCGCTGCTGATCTGCCCTGCAGTAGACGACCTAGTTTTATCATGTGCAGGAGATTATTTGTGCTGGTTGAACAGCTGGGCCAAGATCTTCCATCATTTCTCTGGGTCACATGGGACAGTAGGGCGCAACGCAAACAAACAAGCGCTGACCCTTCTCACGGGACTGAACTTAATCCGCTGAACTCTTCAGCTAATTGTTCGGCTGGTGCATATTTCATGAGTTCCTGCACAAATGATAACGCTCTGAACAAATACAGCCTTCACAAACAATCACTTGACCTTTCCTAGTTCATCTTTTATGCTGTCAAGTCCTGGAGGTCTTAAAGATTTGTTTGCCTCGGTCGTGAGGTCAGAAATTTTAATGCAAGTCGACCTGGTGGAGATGGCCAGTATCGATTAGTTAGTAATTATTTCATTTAAAATGTTCAATTTGCCTGAATCTGTGCTATCTGGCTATATTAATGAAACCCAAATTTATATTAACAGTAGAGCCCACACTTTTTTTGTCCACTTGTACTAAACACGAACAAGAAATCATAATGCATGTACAACAAACACTATGTAAGTATTTCTGAAACATCTAGCTAACAAAAATTGTAACAATTTGTGTAATTCATTGATAAGGTTTAAAAATTTAAAGTTTTAACATTCAAAACATAAATAATAGGACCTTCAAGCCTTTGTCCATATACAAATTCACTGTTTATTTAAATGGAATAATTTTACGAGCCGTCTACGAATGGCGAAGGATATTCACATGCCCAGTGAGCGTGATTTATTATGCATTTTACACAGTGTAGTGTGGATGGAGATTGTTTTTTCTGAAACCATTTTCCAGTGGGCAAATTTGGCCAAGATGCCAGGGTTAAACTCCTACTCTTTTTCGAAAGATATCCTGGGATTTTTTTTTTTACGACAACAGACTTTGGTTTAATGTCTCATCCAAAAGAAGGTGCTCACTGAGCAGTATAGAGTCCCTGTCAATATACTGGGGCGTTAGGACCCACACAGACCACAGGTTGAGCATCCCCGGCTGGTCTCACTACTTCCGGCAGCAACCTAGCTTTTCCATGTGGTTTCCCATTCAGGTTCTGACCGGGCAGAGCCCTGCTTAACTTCAGTGGGTGACCATGTGAGAGTTGCAGAAAGCTAGCTGCTGGCTAATTATTTGACCTTTTTTATTTATTCGTAATTTTTTTTATTTAATTAATTAATTCTTAAGTTTTTCTGGTTACATTTCCCGATTTTATTCATTCATTTTTTGCCAATCCTAAGCAAATTGTAATTGTTTGTTTTTGTTCAATTTGGAATTTCTCCAACCCTTGCAGAGTCCGGCGGATCAGAGTGAGCTCTTCAACTTGGCCCCACCCTGATCCAATTTTTGACAGTTTTTTTTTATTTTTATTTTATTGAACAAGAACATGAGCATCTCAAAAGAGAGTGACCTCTTTTGGGCAGGAGATGAAGAATGGGCAATATTCACATTTTCTGAGAATCTATTCTGGGATTTCACAAAAACATAATTTTATTAAATTAATACACTTCTTTTTTACACTTGTTTTGCAATCAAATATAACAATCTTCAAAAGTTCTTAGTTTGTCTTCTATAGACAAAACAGCAATACAATTTTAAAATCTCATTATTTGTGACGCTTCTTTTACACTAGCTACACTAATGTTTGTTTGTTTTGCGCTCTATTTGCATGCGGCTTTTTCCCCTACGTTTCTTTATCATGTTGGCACTGCACTGCTGGATTCTGTCACCAAGCCATAGAAATGTTCACAGAGTGTGCAGAGATCTTATTATAGAGCTTTCTCTCTGTAATGTCAAGAGGGATTGACGTGGATATCTGCTAAAACTCGTCGCTTCAGCAACTCTGTGTGTGTATGACTGCCGCACTGTGCCGTGACAAGTCGTCCCAACTTGAGAAAGGGCCCCATTGTGCTGAGCCACAGCATCTCATCTGAGTGACACATTCTGGCCGGACATCACTTTCCCCGAAAGTGCATTTGTGCATGGTATAAAGAGGAACACCAACAGACATAAGAGAAAGGCTTGAATAGACTAGTTGGGAAGTAGTGATGTCCGATTTGAGTACTAATTGTACTGGAAGTTGAATTGTGAGTGACTCATTTTGCTCAAGGGTCCAATAACAGTCCATACTATTTTATATATTTTTTTAGACTTTTGAAATGATTGAATATGGCATGATGATAAAAAGACTGTATAACGTCTATAAAGGACACAGAAGTACAAGAGTACACTAATATTAAGCTGGCCTTTTCTCTTTTTATTAGCCTTTTTTTGTTTTTGTCAATGGGTATGAGTGTGTTTTAATGAGAGGCTGTTTCTCAATATGCATTTTTGTTTGTACTTGCATTCTTGTCTCTTCGTGAAACGTCATCAACCAGCACCGAATTACTGTTCCAATTCAAAGTTCACATTTTGCCAAATACAGATAAAAATCCCAGATATGTATTTGCTCCGCCCCCTTTGTGGAGGACGCATTAAGAGGTGACTTGCACAAGATGTCCTCGCTGCTGCCTGCAACTTGACGACGTAGGTGATTGTCAACTACGTAGCAGACCTTGTACTAAGGTAATGCCCATGCTACTGTGATGGTTGGGTTTAGGGTAGGAGGAGGTGTAGGCGATCGTTTACCACCCTCTTAGGTAGTGCCCATGCTACTGTGATGGTTTCGTTTAGGGTAGGAGGAGGTGTAAGCGATCGTTTACCGCCCTCTTAGGTAGTGCCCATGCAACTGTGATGGTTGGATTTAGGGTAGGGGGGAGATGGAGGCGATTGTCAACTTGTACAACCCACTAAGGCAACGCTCATGCTACTGTGATGCTTTGGTTTAGGGTAGGGCGAGGTGTAGTCAATCGTCAACTACGTAGATGACCCTTTATAGCCCACTAAGGTAGCGGCAATACTACTGTGACTGTTAGGTTTAGCTTAGAGTAGGTTTAGGCGATCGTCAACTATGTAGTAGAACTGGTCAACTACGTCATTAAGCTGCGGGCTGTCTCAATTTGCGAAGCACAGGTATCCCAGAATGCATTGGAGCCAAACCAGTGAAAGCTAATAGTGGAGGAACCTGCACAATTTTAAAAGTACTCCTTTGCTGTGTAAAGTTTTGAGAGTTTTTTTCCAGGCAAGAATGTAGCAGTTTTAAACTAGAATCTGCAGTTTATGCACAAAGATAAGCGTGTCTTTGGCGATGTGCCTCCGCTTATGTAGACTCTGAACCCCATCCTGTCTGCGGGAGCCTTATCATCACCTCGCTCCCCCCCCCCCACCACCATCACCAGTCCATCTTGAATCTTCGCTGGATTTCATCAGTCCATTGTAGTTAAAACATGGTATTTAATCCATCTTGTGCATATCTAACAGACCATTTTTGGTCATCTATATCGTTTATTTGTTCTCATGTGTATTATTTTGACGGTGTTATTTTGTTACATTTATTAATTTAATTATGCTAACGTTACTGTATTTTACAATGTTTGTCTTTGTTTATATAATTGCTTAATGATATCCTTATTTGCTTTTGTTACATTTTGTACTTTTATACTTGTATAATGTCCATTGTAATTTATTAAATCTGATAGTCAAAGGTGTCTTGCTTTTCTATAATTAAATCATTTTGTTGTTAGTGTACAGTGAAACTGATGAATCCATGGTAAGGGTAGGTAATATAAATTACACTGCCGTTCCATTTGAATAAGTACTCATCTTCCCACATCCTCGGGAGTTCGTTCTTTCAAGTCTGAACTTCCAAGATCGCAAGACCGAACTTTGCGGATCTTGGTATTGAGAAACAGCTTGTGTGTACTCTGCAAAATAATTTCAAATTACAGCAGTTATGCCCTTTTATCACTTGTAATAACATATGTAAATTGTGCTTGAGTGCTGATATTGTTAATTTTTTCTTTGTCTCAGGTGATTTACCTGAAGAAAACACCAGAAGAAGCCTACAGAGCCCTGATCTCCGGCTCCAATGCCTCCTATCTTCCTTTCAGGTACGACTTATCCACATCATCTGCAGTGTTTGCAAAACTATGCTAATATTGCCTCATTTCTTCCACTCTTTCCGCCCCGTTGCATGCTGCCCTCTAATCAGATTTTGCATGAAATGTTGTCTCTTGTGGCTCACAGGGTTTTTAATGCGATAAACTTTTTTTTTGGCCAGATAAATGAACAGGGAAAGCGGAAAAACAGCATGGCCATGTTTTAGCCGGCATCTATATCGTGATGCTCGTAATTGCAGCAGGGTTAGATTATCGTGCTCCTGCCGCTCGACATCTCTGCCATTTGATTTGGGATTATGGAGTACAGCCGGGTCAGTGCACTCATGTAATCTCTTTTCTTGAGCTGAATTCTGGACTCTGTTCCAGACCTTTGCAAAAGGACAGGAAGCTAAAACATTCAAGCTGATTGGCATACGTAAAGCTGAGTTGGCCTTGAGTGGGAGGAAAACCATCTGTGGCAGGTTCTTGCGACTGGTGTGTGTAGTGGGAATCTGCTTTGTGAATGGGATTGTTTGAATGGGTCGTCTTGTTGGCTAATAGTGTTGGCATTTTAAAACGAGAGTAATTCATTTGTACTCTTTATTGGAGGGTGCTACTACTGGGCTTGAATCGCTAGTCCTTTGTGGCAGTTTATTAGTAGTGCTGCCATACGCTATAATAGATAAATGGGTAGGATTGCCATGGGTGATGGGAGAAAATGCCAAAGTAGTGAAATCATTGCCTGGTAGTTTACATGCGTGCTCTGGTGTAGCTAACAACATTTTCCACCCACTTGCCCCATTAGATGCCAGTCGTGCTTCCAAGACGCCCCCCTGCTGTTTTTCAAATGAAAATTATTCCCGTGGAGATATTATTGTCATCAAAAGAACATTATCCTTTCTCCTTTTAAAATGACTCTTGCATTGAAATCACACGAATACCAGATGAGTAGTGTCATCACTTTGGTACCATAAACTGTAGAATATTCAAATTCATTGAGTCTGCATGAGGGAGAAAATAGGCTAGAAGACGGGGAGTGCATTTTACAGACTGTGCTTTATTTTATACTGTAATATGGTTTTGTTTCTAATGTACAAGTTTTCAATGACGTCACTGACCCGTATAGCCAAAAATAACCTAATGTTTTTGTTTTGTTTTACTAAAAGATGTGCAAGATTAAATATCTTGGGATTCCTACTGGATATTGCAGCTTGTTTATCAACAGAAAATGCAGTCAAACCTACATAGAAGTTGCACTGCTCACTACTCTGTGCTAGTTAATGTGAGCACTGTCCCAATGTGCTGACCTTTTATTTATTTACAGAATGGATTAAATAATTACAAGAACAAGCGTGAAGTACAAAGCATTAGTTTTCATAATAAATAATCATGCCTTTGTGCAGATGCATAGCCCTCACCATGACTGACATCAATGCTAACACACACCTGTCAAAAATTTTAGCTACACATCGCAACGACACAAGCTCTGTGATTGGTCAGGTGGGTAGCGGTGATCAGCGTGGGCAGTGCTTAGAACCACGAGCCCAATGGATTGATTTGTAAACAAATGTTGTGTCCCATGAAGGAGCTACAAATGGAGCCTTTTGTTTTGTGTTTACTCTATGATCAAAGTTGTTGCACGTCCGCCGGTACCCGCCTCAAAATGAACGAGTTTTACCTATTTTCAATTTTCAATTCAATTCAGCTTTATTTGTATAGCGCTTTTACAATGTGGATTGTGTCAAAGCAGCTTCACATAAATGGTCATAGTAACTGGAACAGTGTAGTTCAGTTTTTTAGTGTTTAAGTTCAGTTCAGTTTAGCTCAGTTCAGTGTGATTTAATCATTACTGAGAGTTCAAACACTGAAGAGCAAATTCATCGATGCGTTGCTCTACCAATCCTGAACTATGCGAGCCAGTGGCGACAGCGTACTTGTACGTTAAGGTAGCGTTCAGAAAAAAACATAACACACGTGAAGAAACGCGACACAGAGGAGCATAAACCTACTGCCAGCTAGAGTTTCAGAAGTGTTATTGCCGAGTAGCACAAACAGCGCACAGAACTAAATGCACGATTATGCGCAAGGCAGGTGCCGTAGGTCACGGCTATTGCTCTGCATAAGGACAAATCAGCCTTAAACCTACTGTCTGTTGTCTATAACAAAATTATAGCTATAACTTGATGTATTTTTGTTCTATATTTAACTGTATATTTACTATGTACTACTTTTCTAGTATATAAATATAGTTTACTATATAGCCTCTTTTAATATCATGATAAAGCACTTTGACAGCTTAAATGTGATTTATGCTTATGATTTGTGTGATTTAAATGTATTTATTTTAGTCAGGTTAAAAAAAAAACACATTTTGAAACCATTTTACCGTTGCTCTATTACGTTAATATAGTGTATTGTTTAATTATACTTAATAATACTGTCACTGGTATTTTTACAGAGTACTTAAACGTTGGTACCGTGACAAACCTACCATAAGGTATTATTCATTATTAGGACGTTAATGTTCAGGGATTGCCAATCATTTTGGCTGATTTATGCAGATGAGATTCATCCCTCAGAACTGTTCTCCCAATTTACTGACCCAGAAACGCAAAGTCTGAAAGTTCTCCCAGGTCGAGCACATTGCTGAAGATTGTTATGCGCGCATATATAACGAGCGACACAAAGAAAGATGACCCATGGACTCACTGAACAGAAACTCATTGTTGAAGTGGACTGATTTGGAGCCGTATACATCGAGTATTGAAAGAGGCCAGCATTTTTTGATTTCGATATCTTAAGTCGACTCCCAGAAAGCTATGAGATGAGGTTATGAATTTATGGAGCAGGCCATATGCATGTACTATCTGAGATGTGCAGTAAGTGCTTCCGGTATAGATTAGCTCTGGACTTCAAACTGTTGGGAACCATCATTCAGAAAACGGCAGATTGACAGGAAACAGCAGATTGACACTGCAGTTATTAGTGCTTTTCCCAGGAGGTCAAAATCACCCATTAGAATTCTTCATAACACATACTTTCATGTCATCAAGGAAAAAATCTTTTACTACTTGATTGTCTTGGTCTGTGACGCCATTTAAACAAATAATAGGGTTACAGGAATTACCCATGGGAGGATTATTAAACAACAGTTGTTGTTTTTTCACTCTGTGGGCATTAGTTAATGTTTTTACAGTTTGAGAGATTAACTTTTATCCTACTTTGAGTACTTAAAAAAAAAAGAAACCTTGACTTTTAATATTATTAAAATTGTTTTAAAGTCTAGTTAAAAAAAATACATTTTATGTGGTATTTCTCTAAAATGTAATCTTGGAAGGTTAAAAAGCACCTTTTCATGACAAAACTGAGATTGACCTTGTTTATAAATCCTTAACTGCTTTAGGCTTTCATTGGGCCTGTCTAAACTTGTAGTGACGCAGCCATTTATCTTTGCCATGACATCTTATCTTTTCTGGCATCTAGGCCAGTCATTATGCGTTTTTTTAATCCTGCATTTTGGATCTAACAATAAATCTTTAAACATGAATTGTACACACAGGATTTTGAGATTTGGCCAAGTAAAATAAAATTACCAGCAAAGAAGTCTGCTAATGCCTAAAACCATTCATTGTGTATAATTTTCTGTGGTATGTTTACTAGATGTGCCTCCTAAGGCACTTCTTTCACATTGTTTGCCGTCCTGTCCATCTTGAAGGTTAATTGGGCCTTTGTTTCTCCACAAAGATGAGATTGTTAGCAGTGCCGTAGCTGAGCATGGGAAGAAAAGCGCTTTGTCAGTGCACCCCCCCACCACTTGGCTGCTGTAGCCTTGCCACTTGTGGCAATAAACAGTGGTTATGTAATCCCTTGCAATTGGTTAATTCAGAACACAAATAGTTGTGTTATCTGTGAGAGGGAAGGGGGTCCTCATGGGAAACGATGAATGGACCCTATGATTCAATAAAAGGAAACTCCTTGTGAGATCCATGTTTGACTGCATCACCAGAGGAATGAGGGATCAGAGGAAGACACTGCAACAAGGGTGAAAAAATATATATAGATAAAATGTTTCAGCTTATCTTATATATAGCTAAGTTCATCTAAAAGGATCTCTCTTCAGTCACCAGGAATAGAGCTTGGGATCCCGACTTTATTAATGTATTTTTAGCTGCAAACTTGACCTTTGGTTGATCCATTCTGAATCACGGTGACTACAAGGTAGCCCAACATCTCGGGCATTCAGTAAATGCACACATTTGATCCATCTTGCGTAAACTAAATCTTGCTATCCAGCCAAAATCTTGCTTAGGCCACAAGTCTTTCTTGGAAAGAAACTCGCACAACAAACACAAGTTTCCACCCAAAGACGGAATGCACAACATGACCTGATATTATGGTCTTCAAGCAATATATTTTTAGGATGACATTTGAAGTAACCTGAAAGTTGAGGTTGTCTGAAAGCTGTGTAATCTCCATTCAAGTGAGCTGATGTGGGTTTGTTACTTGGCGCACATTTGGAGACGGTGCTGTAGTGACCCAGACAGAGAGCCTCAGGATTTGGTTGACAATTCAGAACTTGGCATTATGTAAAAATCTTTCTTTCCCTGTCTGACCAAATAATCAGCATTCTTAAGAGGAAAGCATTGGATGGGATAAGCAAGTCCTATTCTGACCTGTGTGTGCAAGATAGAGTTTGTTTTCTTTGGATCCAGTTGACCTGAACTCACCAATTATAGGCCAAACTAATCCAGATAAAGCATGATAGAGAAATAGTCTTTTGGGTCTCATTGAGGAACTCCACACCCTGTTCTGTACAAGCAAGGGTGGGTTTCTCTTCCGAGAGTTAAAGAGTTTCCTGTTTCTTTAAAGTTTCACTAGTGCATGTTTATGCCAAATATAGTTTGCTTAGCTCATGTATTCCTTCCACATTTGATCACTGATTACCTCATCAAGACCTCAAACACAATCGTGTACTGTCTTTTTTTCACATCATGGCTAGAATTGACTAACCAAGTCCGATTTAAACTCCTCCATTGAGGCTTTCGTTTGCTGTTATTTCAACTTCAAGTAAGCTTCGCTGTCCTGCCAAGAAGCTTTTAGACTTATGAAATGATATTTGCAGCATGAAGCTACCCGGCCTACTCAATCTCTGAGGAACTTTGACCCTGCATGATTACAGAAGCCACTGTCATAGCTGTAAATCTGTATCTACTAAAACAAATCATGTCTGTGGTAGTGATTGCATAACATTACTAATGTGCTGCTTGAGGTTTTGGCATCTGTATGCTTGTTCTGCTTCGCCTCCTCTGGAGTGCTCACCCAGGACACACCCTGTGCTTAGCAGCTCTGCTTATCCCTGTGTTTTGAATCCAACCTAAGACTGTAAAAAGCAGATTTATATGTTAACGCTGTGACCAGCCCTCTTTAATACCTTGTTTTGTTATTTTTTGACCAAAATAATTGTGGTAGATCCATTCAGATGCCTCTTATGGGAACAGCTCTTGAGCCTCTGTTATTGCATGTCTTCAGTGCAAGTCATTTTGTGTAGTCTAGTGATTTTAATTTTGGGCTAATATACGGAAGTTCCAGACCTCCTATGGATTGAATCCAATGTGCTCTTGTGCTAGGCGCTTGACCTTTGGTACTTTTTTGGGATGTGTACTGTCCTTATAATGCATTTCAGTTATTGTATTGTGGGCTACTTGCAATGCATTGAAAGCCTCTTCCAAACGACCCATTGGTAAGGTAAAGGTGGATGAAGATAGACCATTTAAAATGAGGTTTTTCTATGTCCTGGTCTCCAGTCAGAGAGGTGAGACATTACATAATCCTCAGGATGTTAGTCTATAATTGCTACTGGTGAGCTGCGGTGTTTCTACAGCCAAATCGATTGGCTCAACATTCGTCTGTACTGTGGGAAGGAAGATGAATGAGCCTGTGGCTGGTGGGAAAGTCTCCAGCTGTTTCTTCTAAACAAATCTTGGATCTTGCTGTCCGTACTGGGTACAGATAACTATGTGCACAGAAAACATTCTTCTACAAAGCTCTGTTGGAAATATGCCTGGGTATTGTCTTTTGTTTTTCAGATATAGTTTTAAGAAAGATTGAAGTGCTTTTATTTGTCTTTTTTGTGGGTGCATAGGTGTCCAATGCTGCTTCCAAAGCGACAACACCCCACAGATTATTCGCTCCAACCCTAATAAATCACACAAAGCAGCTAATCAAGGTCTTGAGTTTTGGTAGAAACTTGAAGAGCAGGCCTGTTAGAGTTCCTGTGACCCATCAGGAGCAGGTTAACACCCTTGACCTTGGTCGGGTCTAGGCCAGTTTGGTTTTGGATTTTTTTTACCCCCTCATCTTGTTGGCTGATGAATCCCTCAGACAGAATATATTCTAAAGTACTTGCTCAGAGCCTATGATGGTTATTTGACACTTGGCAAACTGTCTCTTAGTAATGAATCAGTATTTTGATGATGTATTTTGATTGTCTATTGTCAGTCATTTATAGAAACGTTACTTTAATAGTTTATTCCGAAATTTACACATAGTATTTCACTCTGAATAATAACATCTTGTGGTAAGATGCAGAAATTCATATAATACACAAACCTTGACAATGGATTACAGTTTTTCCCTAGCTCTTGAGTGTTTATTCTTGTTTTTCTTATTGCTGCTGGTCTGAAAGCTGACAATTAAAGTCCACTATATTATTATTGCAATAATAAAGCTTATCCTTTACATAAGTTGTGCTCTCGATATTGTGGAATTGCATGAGTGCACTTCTTATTTCCTCCTCATGGAGACCCACTGTCCTGAATCTTTAGCTCCTACCTTAATGAAGCACTTCAAGCAGCTAATCGAGGTTTTACTGGTAATTCTATAAACTTCCACATAGGTGTGTTGAGGTAAGTTTGAGCTGAACTCTGCAGGATTCTGGCCCTCCAAGACCAACTTTGGAGACCCCTTTATTAAAAATTTATGCTAGAAGCCTCTAGTGTCGGGCGATTATACGAAATTTTCAGATCGCCATATCGTCCCCTGTTAGATCGACGATATTATAACATGGGGGCGCAGCAGTGTTACGTTTACTTATTTGCTCATGTATTTAGTAATTTCTGAACGCATTTAATAACATTTCAACTGATTTACTTATTCAATAATCTTTCATTTGCATTACGTTTTATTTTGAAAATAATTTAAATCAATGCAAATAACCACGCTTGTCCTGCTGAATTGGCTCTGAGACGTAAATTATTTTACACATAAGACTGTTCAACAGTGGGCGCGGGACAAGATGTTATAGTGACTTCGGGTCCAGGCAGTTATCCGCTGGAATCTTGCAAACAGGTTATATGTAAATATAAGTGGATAAAAGCAAATGAAGTTAGATTTATTCATGCACAAAAGAAACCCGCGAGATGAAGGCTTTTTCTCCATATTTTGTTCAGTTCATCACCAAAAAAAACAACAACAACAACGTCACATTTGTATTTGCCAGAATCGAATACAATGTGTTTATTGTTTTCTGATTAAGGAAATGGTTTCATTTTAATTAGTTATTAATAATCTGTTCAAGAATTTGATAAAACCAAAATGAATTTTTATTTAATATAGTTTAAGTAAATAATTATATTTGAATTGCCTATAAATAATTCCAATTATTAATTAAATTGTTAATTATATAGGATATTTTCTGGAAGATGCCCATGTCTGTGTTTATCATTCCATCGAATTAAACACAAATAAGACATATTTATATTCCATGCATTTGAAAAAGCAGTCATTGGATGTTTCACTACCTTAAAACTTAAATAGGCTATTATTAACAGATATTATATAAGATAAAAAAATTGAGAATCTTGTTGGAGTGCTTGTTGTGTAGAAGTGTCAAATTACTTACGATTGTGCATTACCTCAAAACGTTGTATTCGTGAACAGTTGAGCTGGTTTCAGTTCTTATTTATTTGATTTTTGATTGTTCCATTTTTAAAAATCTCTTTATTTAACTAGTTTAATTAAATTCCGCTGTTATTTAGCCTATTAATTTTATGCAACAAACTTGCAAATTAATTTACTATGAGATGTGGCTGTGTACTGTCGTGCCCTACAATCAACTGCTGCTTCTGAGAGAAAAAGAGCATGAGAGCAATGCCGGCAAAAAAGGGAAAGACTTAATTTTTTGCATGACGACTTGTGTGAAATTGGGAATATAGGTCTATAATCACCTTGCAATTTAAGAAAACTATTGTATGTTTTCCTTTGAGTAGGCTAGTTTTTTAATTCTGATGCTGCAGTTTGAAAGTGTCGGTTAGGGGATGTTGATGTGAACAACTGAAGCTGACATTATTTGTGGTTCATTTATCATTAATTGCCTACAAGATACTATCGTCTATTGGCACAACCCTAACAGCTGCAAGTTGCAGGTTCAAACCTTACTGTTTTTCGTTGAGAAATGAACTTAATCCCTAGGGGAATATGATAGTGCCAAAATGTAAGAGTGCAACAGAGCTGCAATACGCGCACTTTGAAGAAACTGAACTACTAAGGCCATACTTTCCAAGTCAGATTTAACAATATATTTGTCTTCAATCAGTGGACCAATGCACAAGACCTCCATCTTCAGGGAGTTACAGGGTATGCATCTGTGAGTACGTGTTGTTTTGTGTGCTTCAGAGGAGCCCGATACTTTCCATTGAGGCACACTGAGATCCTAATGAAAGGATCCCAGCAGAACACTGACCCACTTTTTATGCAACCTAGTCCGCATCATAAACCACATGCATAATGCAAAACTCAATTAAAACAGACACAAAGGGCCTGTTCCTTGACGTGCGTTATGGTCGGTTTTGGTTCCTTTTCGTTTCCGAAGCAAGAGGCATTTCATTACAACTTTCCTTGACCCACTGACATTATTTTAGGTACACAAACAACCCTGAATTCGATTGACTTCACATGTGCTCAAAATGGGCCGTCGTCTCGTCTATGAACTTGATTTCGCCTTGACCCTGGAGATGTAACCCATCGTGTTGTTGGAAGCCCACATGTACAGACGTTTTTACTGTGAGAACACAGATGACAAAAGCTAACACCGTCTTTTCTGTCGATTTACCTTCACTCCCACATCCAAACACAAAGGCCCTGACCCAGTTACTTGTATTCCTGGCGGGTAATGGTTTACTCTGGATAAAAGCATGCCACCTGAGAGCTGAATCAGTGTCTGTGTTCCTGTTTGTTTGCCCATAACATGACTTTATATTTGTGTTTTTTCTTTTTTTTGTTCGATTGCTTATTGTGTGAATACACCCACATAACTTTTAATGGGCCTTTTTTAATCTCTTTCAGGGATGCTTCATTTGGAAATTGCACATACAACCTGACGGTTCTTGACTGTTTACAAGGCATTAGGAAGGTGAGATGTGCATTGTGATACTATACGTAGCCATATTTTTTCCCCTATTTGTAATCTATTAGTTTTTCATAAATTTGCTATATAAATAAAGACCATTTTGAGGGATGCAAACAATAACAACGGTCCTAACATATTTCCTGTTTAACATTTTTAATTTCTATTGCTTCCAAGAATGCAAAAAGCTTGCTTTAACATGAAGTTATGATTGAATTGCCTCTTGTTACAGTTCTGAAATAGTTTGATAACAAGCAGGAAATGTTCATGGGCCAACGACATGACCACATTGAAATGGTTTATATTTCTTTTTTTTTGTTGTTGTAGTATGAATTAGCACATTTTAATTTGCTTTAATATAATATAAAAACAAAACACACTATAGGTTTTCACATGACGTAATTGATGGTGTGCGAAATTCAGATGGAGGGCAGGAAGTGATTCTTCTACATAGGAATCGCTATCAGAATGTCAGAATGTTTCTGTTTTATGTTGTTTATAATTATTTAAATCGGCCAAAAATAAAATGCTAAAGCGCTTTTATGAACTTGCTAAAAGTTTTTGCTTATAAATGGGGGGGAAGTTCAAGAGACTGGCTGAAAAATAAAAGAAGAAACGTCAAACAAATTAAACATTTATTCAGTACATCCGTGTGTACAAACTTTTTTTGAATGCCATAATACGTTTGACAGCACCAATACAGATTATATACAGGCCTAGCTATGTGTTTAAATATGTTAATGTGTTCTAGAAATGATACAAGCACCATCACACTACAAAATCTGGGAGAATATAAATAACGTACCTGCTATGTAATCGCTGCAATGAAATCTTTGTCCTTATTGGCTTTTTCGGTGGAATAAACAACCGCAACGTGAACTTGGAGATGCGCAGCAGCGGTTAATGTTTGTTGATTATTTGGTAAGATCATCGACAGAGCAAAGAAAAGAAAAAGAAATGCAACCCTGCGACAACTGGAAGGTTATTATTGTGGAGCACTTTTACAACTTCAAAATAAATAAATAATAGCATAGACTATGCGGCCACGCTTGTGTTGTCATCTGTTTTTTGTGATTTCTGTAAGATATCCTCATAAATAGTGGGGGAAAAAAACTATAGAAATTTATAATAGACACGTTTTTTAACCACATAGTAAAGTGTATAATCTGTACAACTCAATGAATGCTACAGAATACTATAGTAAACTTATAAACTGTAATAAATACTGTAATGTTAGTGTAAATTGTAATGCATTGTGATTTCTAGCATAGAAAACTAAAGCCTATATTGAATAGTTAATTACTTCTACTAGTTGTGGTACTTCTCGTACCACAGCAACAATATAATAACTATGACAGTTTAATTCAAGTAATTATCTATGGCAGGGGTCACCAATCTCATTCCTGGAGGTATGGTGTCCTGCAGGTTTTAACTCCAACTTGCCTCAACACACCTGCCTGGGTGTTTTAAGTATACCTAGTAAGACCTTGATTAGCTTGTTTAGGTGTGTTTGATTAGGGTTAAAGCCACAATCTGCAGGACACCGGACCTCCAGGAACAAGTTTGGTGATCTCTGATCTGTAGTATGCTTCCAAACACTATAGTATTTACGATAGTATTTTTTCATATAGCATGATAGCTTATACAGTACCTACGGCCTAGATGACAGCCAAATATATTTTAGTTCAGTAGAAAACTCTACCCTCTTCATGATATAAGGATCATGTCCAACATATGTGGTTGTTTTCTATTTGTCTTCTTGGAATATGGTATAAATCGCAAAAATATGGACTTTCCTCTGTCTTCCATTCAGCTTTTTACTTCCTGCCCCTCCATCTGAATTTCACATGTCAGCAGAACCACGAGATTGAACAACCCGTTTATTAATGTCATTCATTTTCATGTTTATGAAAATATTTACAGAATCTACAAAGTATAATGAAGGTAGTAAGAACAAATCAATAATAAATCAACAATAATTATTGTTATATAATTTTTGTTATTGATAAATATACACATTTTTTAAATATAAAATAAATGTATACATTTTTTTTATTATTGAATAAAAACTTTTATTAATTAGAAAATGCAAAAATATAAAAAAATAATCTAAATAATGAATTTATTATTATTATTATTATTATTATTATTATCTAAATTTAAATATTTCATATTTTTCCAGATTAATTACTAGTATATTTCTGTCCTTTTGCAGGAATATTTATTTTTAACCGTTAGAGCACTCGAGCATAAACGCAATCCTGGATTATACCCATAGATACTAATCAAACGCTTAATCCTCCTTGTGCAGTCAGCATGAGACTGGAAACTTGTACATTAGCAAGGAACATCTGTGTCTACGTGTTGGAAAAGGTGCTTGAGGGAGGTTAAACTGCTGTCGGCTTACATAACACTACAGGTGTCTGCAGTTTGAGCATCTCTCCCATTGTACGGCCTCTGTCTCTGACTGTCTGTGGGAGTGTGTTCATAAAGACACGCATGACGGCAGCTTTTCTTCTGTCTTTTGTTCAAATATTTTAGGTTCATTTGGCTTAACTCCATTAAGTTTTTTTTTATTCTCCACTGTAAAAACACACATGAAGCATTCATGAATCCAGTTTAAATCCCTTCAGTATTTGTTCTGAATTAAACCTTTGAGGTTCAGAAAGGATGTCATTCTCTCATTCTAGGCTCTATCAGAGTAAACAACATTGCTTTAATAAGGTGTTTCTAGATCATTTTTCTGTTCAGAGTTGTTAGACTGGCTGGCTGGTAAATAATGCTCACGTGAGTTTGCGATTCGCGTCTGTTTTTTGCGGGTTTCTCAGCAACACGTCTGTAGGTATCGGTGTGTCTTCATATCAATGCACTGGAAAAACTCGTTGAACGTGGAGAGTGGATTCCTGAGTGCATTCTTACATGCTAGTCATTCAACAACATCCTTCAGTTGCTTAACCTGTTTGTTTTCTTACAGTTTGAGTACATTAATTTTACTCCATAGACCTTCCTAACATACAAACTTCATGGCACATTTGATATTATGTTGGTTGAAGAAGGTTTTATATTTGGTCTCTATTTATGTGGGTTTTTGGAAGATTGCGTAAAAAATACTTAATGTAAATGACAAGATGAGCATACATTTTGAAAAATGTACACCTTTTTATATCTGGATATGCAAGCAGGAAGTACTTAAACTGGAGGACTTTCGGTAGTAAACTGAAGCACATGGCTGCTCTCGTCTCCCATTCTCTTTGAGTTTTCCCCCAACTTGATTCAAATTAAAACTTATTTCTTGATTGAAGTTCGGGAAAGCAGAAAATGTGATATAACTTCAGTGGGTACTGTCATGGCTGAGAAACAAGGGGATTGTAATGGCGGACAAGAGGAAAACCCGAAACTAGCAACAGTGGATGATAACATCGCTGTCATCTGGGCAGACATAAAGAAGATGTCCTCGGATATGAAGTCAGAGATCATTTCAAGACCATTTAAAAAGAGAATTAGTGGGTTTTCAAAAGGAAATGGTTAAACTAAATCACCACCGTTCTAAAAACTGCAACTGACAGAGGAAGTACAGTTGAAGTCAGAATTATTGGCCCCCTTTAGATTTTTTTCTTTTTTAAATATTTCCCAAGTGATGTTTAACAAAGCAATGAAATTTTCACAGTATGTCTGATAATATTTTTTCTTCTATTTGTTTTTTTTTCGGCTAGAATAAAAGCAGTTATTAATTTTTTAAAATCCATTTTTGGGTCAATTATTAGCCCCTTTAAGCTAATTTTTTTTCCGATAGTCTACAGAACAAACCATCGGTATACAATAACTTGCCTAATTACCTTAACCTGCTTAGATAACCTAATTAACCTAGTTAACCCTTTAAATGTCACTTTAAGCTGTATAGAAGTGTCTTGAAAAATATCAAGTAAAATATTATTGACTGTCATCATGACAAAGATAAAATAAATCTGTTATATGAAATAAGTTTTTAAAACTATTATGCTTAGAAATGTGCTGAAACAATCTTCCCTCCATTAAACAGAAATTGGGGAAAAAAATAAACAGAGGCTAATAATTCTGACTTCAACTGTACATGAACTGATCTGTCATGTGACACCTCTTACCAAAAGCAAACCCTTTTAGAGCTTACTAGTGTTCACACTCTTGGCTAAATGTTGAATTCCCGGACTTTTTCCTGACATTCACGCACTCAAAAACTGAATTTCCACGACCGATATTAAACACTGAGCAGACTAAAAGCAGAATACATGTTTAATCGTGTGTTTGACATGGTGCCACAGCCCAAAACAAAGCTGCACTGAAAGTTGCATTGTATTTCCTTTTAAATGTAATTTATTGCAGCATCCCCTGTCTGCAAAGCTCTGGACATGCAGGCTCTTGTGTAATTTGCAGTTTCTTTGAGACAGATGTATGTGACTCCCCTCCGGCTCTCATTAACAGCCTGTTTTAACAGCTCTTTAATTGCATGAGTCACACGCAGCATCTGTGAGTGTGATAAACACCCATGCCTGGTAATGATCTAATCACCACTTCTGCCTCTCTCTGAGCTGGAGGCGAGGAGTTAATGCCCTATTTGCTGACATGAGAGCAGTCGTTTTGTTTTGGTTAGTTGTTTGGGTTTGTCTAATGGTTAAACATCTGGGCTCGTAACCAAGAGTTCACGGAGCAAAATCTTAACGGGAAGCTAAAGGGAGGGTTCACCCAAATAATGAAAATTCTTTGTTGCTCGTATTTGTTTTTTTTTTCTGATCAGTTTGAGTGTTTTTATTCTGTTGAACACAAAAGAAGATATTTTGAAGAATGTTGGGAATATGTAACCATTGACTTTCCTAGTAGAAAAAAACAAATACTATGGAACTCAATGGTTTCAGCTTTCTTCAAAATGCCTTGTTCAACAGAACAAAAATACTCCTAGTTCTGCTGCATAGTGGAAAAGTGGTTACAATGTCTCAATATTTGGATATATATTAGGGATGCTCAGTTCAGGA